ATCCAAGAAGAGTTGTTGATTTTTTAGTCTGTTCAGCTTTTTACTTATTAGGAAGGAAGGATAACATGCAAAACTGGAAAAGCCCCACTCTCACACTTCTAGTACTAGTAATGTGTGTCTTCTCTCTTTTTGTCTTGGTTGGCTTGGCTAGAGGTTGATCATTTTATCAATCTTTTCAAAGAATCAGCTTTTGGCACTGGTGATTCTATTGTTTACTTGTTTTCAATTGCATTGAATTCTGGTCTATTTTTATTATTTCTTTTCTGCTTCCTTTGGGGTAGAAGCTTAGATTATAGATTTTAGATTTTTCTTTATTTCTAATATATATAGTTCATACTATAAATTTCCTTTCATCCCACAAATTTTGATAAGTTGTATTTACATTTTTATTTTGTCTAAAATATTTTAAAATTTCTCTTGGGACTTCCTCTTTAACCCATGTGTTCTTTAGAAATGTGTTGTTTAATGCCAAAATATTTTAGCTATTTTTTAAATTTATTTCTAGTTTAATTCCACTGTGGCCTGAAAGGACACTTTGTATGATTTTTATTCTTTTAAATTGGTTTAGGTCTGTGTTATGGTCCAATACATAGCCTATCTTAGTGAATGTTCCATGTGAGTTTGAAAAGAATATGTATTCTGCTATTGTTAGATGAAGCAGTCTCTAGTGGGTTTAGAAATAAACCCAAACACCTATGGTCAATTTTAACAAGAGTGCAAAGTCAATTTAAATGAGGAAAGAATAGTCTTTTCAACAAATGGTGCAGAGAAAAGAATGACGTTAGAGCCCTGACTCACACCATACATAAAAATTAATTCAAAATGGATCAATGAGCTGAATGTACAAGCTAAATTATAAAACATCTAGAAGAAAACATAGGGATAAATCTTCATTACCTTGGATTTGGCAATGAATTCTTAGATATGATACCAAAAGCACAAACAACAGAAGAAAAAACAGTGAAATTTTACTTCATCAAAATAAAAATCATTTGTGCTTCTAAGAACTTTATTAAGAAATTTGAAAGACAACTCAGAATGGGAAAATGTACTTGCAAATCATATATCAAATAGAAGACTTGTACATTGAGTATGTAAAGAACTCTCAAAACTTAATAACAAGATAAATAACCCAACTTTTAAAATGGGAAAAGGACTTGAATAGACATTTATCTAAAAAAGATGTACACATGACTGGTAAGCACATGAAAAGAGGCATGACATCATTAGTCATTAGGAAAATGCAAATCAAAACCACAATGAGATACCACTTCACAACATTAGGATGGTTATAATAAAAAAAAAAAGGCAAGTAATAACAAGTGTCAGCCAGGATGTGAAGAAATTGGAACCCTCATAATTTACCTATGGGGAATGTAAAATGCTGCAGCTGGTTTGGAAAACAGTCTGGCAATTCTTCAAAAAGTTCAACATAGAGTTACCATATGACCTAGCATTTCCCTTCCTAGGTATACACCCAGCAGAAATGAAAACAATATGACTGCAGAGAAACTTGCACATGAATGTTCATAAAAGCATTATTCATAATAGTTGAAAGGTGAAAACAATCTAAATGTCCATCAATTGATGGATGAAAAAAGAGAAGGTGGCCTATCCATACAGTGAAAAATTATTCAGCCATAAAAAGGAACAAAATATCCATATAAAGTACAACATGGATGAATCTTGAAAACATGGTAAGTGAGGAAAGCCACATACTGTATGATTCCATTTATATGAAATGTTCAGAACAGGCAAATGCATAGAAACAGAAAACAGATTTGTGGTTTCCAGGAGTTGGAAGAAGGAGAGATTGGGCACTGACTGCTAATGGGTACAGAATTTCCCTTTGGGAATGATGGAAATGTTCTGGAATTAGATCATTGCAATAGTTGCACAGCTTTGTGAATGTACTCTGAAATTAATTTTATTTTTACTTCGAAAGGATGATTTTATGGTATGTGAATTATAAAAATAAAATTTTTAGTTAAGAGAATATACCTCTGGTAATTCTGTGTGCCATATGGTGATGCTCACATGTATGGGACAGGTGGTTTCTCTGAACTGTTTATTTGAGTCAGATTGTATTTCAAAAACCACATCCCAACAAGTGTCTCTTAGAATGTTTTAGGAGGGTAGCAGGAAGAGATTAAAAAGAGCACAAGGAAATTTTTTGGAGTGAGGCATATGTTCATTATCTTGATTGTGGTAATTGTTTCAATGGATATATACTCATGCTGAAACAACATTTTATACTTTAAGTATTTATAGTTTATTGTCCACCAGTTATACCTCAATAATGCTGTTGAGGAAAAACTAATGCTGTGAGGGGAAAGAAAGAAGAAATTGTCTACCACAGAGGAGACACTAACAATCAAGTCCAACAAAATTACTCAGCTTGTTGATGTTACAGAGACTTTGTCACTGGTCACTCCATCTGGTGTGATGAGTGTCTTAGTTCCAGCTGCTATAACAAATTACCATAGGCTGAGTAGCTTAAACAACAAAAATTTACTTCTTACAGTTCTGGAAGCTGGAAGTCCAGAATCAAGGCACTTGCATATCCAGTGTCTGGTGAGGGCCACCTTCTTGTCAGAACTTCACGTCAGAGAGAGAGAGAGAGAGAGAGAGAGAGAAATCCCTCGTGTCTTTTCTTTTGAGGGCACTAATCCCATTGGTAAGGACTCCAACCTTATCACCTCATTAACTGTCAGAAGCCCCACCTCCAAATATCATTACAGTGGGGACTAGGCGTCAACATATGAATGTTGAGGAAACAGTCAATCCGTAGCAATGGAATCTGAGTAAGAGTGCCCCTTGTGGAAGCCTCTTACACTGTTGGTGGGAATGTAAGTTGGTACAGCCACTTTGGAAAACAGTGTGGAGATTCCTTAAGAAATTAAAAATAGAGCTTCCCTATGACCCTGCAATTGCACTATTGGGTATTTACCCTAAAGGTACAGATGTAATGAAAAGAAGGGCCATCTGTACCCCAATGTTCATAGCAGCAATGGCCACAGTTGCCCAACAGTGGAAAGAACCAAGATGCCCTTCGATGGATGAATGGATAAAGAAGATATGGCCCATATATACAATGGAGCATTATGTCTCCATCAGAAAGGATGAATACTCAACTTTTTTCTCAACATAGACAGGACTGGAGAAGATTATGCTGAGTGAAATAAGTCAAGCAGAGAAAGTCAATTATCATATGGTTTCACTTATTTGTGGAGCATAAGGAATAACATGGAGGACATTAGGAGAAGGAAAAGAAAAGCAAATTGGGGTAAATCAGAGGGGGAGACGAAGCATGAGAGACTATGGGCTCTGAGAAATAAACTGAGGGTTTTGAAGGGGAGGGAGGTAGGGGGATGGGTGAGCCTGGTGGTGGGTATTAAGGAGGGCACATATTGCATGGAGCACTGGGTATGGTGCATAAACAATGAATCTTGGAACACTGAAAAAATAAAATTAAAACAAAAAGAGAGTGCCCTTGCTCATACAGGATTTACTGTATAGATTTATAAAATATATTTCTTTTTGAGGGTCCTAGACCAAAATCTTCCAAAACCATTTGTTTAATATCTGAAGTTATTGTGCAAACATACTAACTAGGTGACATCAAATTTTTCTTACACCTGACCTTAACAATTTTACTGTGTTAGTCTTAAACAATTAAATATGTATAACAATATTAAACTTTGTTCCATAACCAGTCATATCTACAGAAATACAACCCACAGAAGAACTTTTGATTTGAAAAGCCCTCCTATTTTTCTTTAAAACATTTAAATTTATTAAATATGTAAATAAAAGTTTAAATATATTTAAATATATACTTAAATATTTTATATTTTTAAATTTCTTTAAGACATCATTTTAAGGTCTGAAATTTGCAATTTACCTAAAATTTAGCTTGGCTTGGGGTGGAGGGGGCTTGATATAGCTTTTACTTCTTATTATATCACCATGTCTGTAAAAAAATATGGCTCTGTGGAAAAATGATGCCAACTATTGATTGGTTTATTGATTCAGCTATATTATTTGCCTTATTTTTTGTGGTGTAAATATTTTATATTAAGAAAAATATTTTTAAATGCCATCCTCATAATTCTAAAGCTTTAGCTTCATTTAATTCATGAACACCTGAAGATGTAATAAAGGAGGTCATTAGGTTCTTGAATGGAGAAATGGTTTTGTTTTTTAGTCTTGATGCATTTTGATGAAAAAAATGTTCTTACAATGACTTCTTGTTTCCATGAGGTAGAGAGTGGGTTTTTAGTCCTTGGAACCGATGGAGCTACAACTTAGACCATAGAATGCATTGCTTTGAGTACACAGGTGTTATCAGAGCAAAATCCTACCATGGAAAGATCCATTGGGAGTGGAGTGTGTGCAAAAGTCCAATCAAAGTAAGCACTACCGTCGATCTAGGAAGTCGTGCTGTGGATGGGAAATGATAAAGGAGTGGGCACTCAGAGGCTAAAAGGGAAGCTGGGGACTTCTAGTCTCAGATGTGGGCCCCCAAATGTGTCCACAGTGTGAGAGTAATCATAAAATCAAGACAGCTGTGGGTCATGTAAGGAGAAGATGGTCCCCTTGGATCCTCTGACAGAGAACATACTTTGGTCCCCTTGAAAATGGGTTGGCATGGGGTGAAATGGACAACCACAGTTAACAGGAAAACTAAATATTTCTCCTAAGATCCACACCCCCCTGAAAAGACACTCTTAACCATAATGAATATATAAAGAATCATCAGCCGCTCTTGAATACTCAACAAGCATCCTCCCTCCTCCTCCCTCCTACTCGCTCCTCTAAATAAGAAGGTATGCACAGACACAGTGAGCTTTTTGGAGACATTAGAGAATTCACAAGATGCTTTATTTTCTGACACACATGCTTTCAACCTATTTGGAAAATGTTCTACTTTGAGCAATGTTTCTTACTCTGAAATACACCAAATAATTTTTAATAAAATAAAAACTACTAAGTATCTTGTGCTCGTTTTGGCAGCACATAGACTAAAACTGGAACGATCCAGGGAAGATTAGCATGATCTCTGTGCAAGAAAGACATGCAAACCTATTCAGTATATAGTTAAATGTGCTTTGTTTAAATTTAAAGGAAATCTATAGATCTTAGAATATTTTATTTTGGATGGTATCATGAGTTGAAGTTGATAACATCATGATGGTATCTTGTGACGAGTTGAACACAAGATGCTATTTTCATTCAAGGGGGTCATACGCACATGGCATGTTTTTACTCACATACTAACTACATGCTGCATGAGACCCACTCCCGCTGTGGGTAACTGACTTTAGAGTCTTACTTTTAGATCGCTAATTTAAGAAGCTTCTTCTTACTTTTGAATGTTGATAGTTTCATGTTATTTCAGAGGTATTCCCCTGAAAAAATTTCCATCCTTATTTTTAGAGTTTCTTATTATGGAAAATTTAAAATATATGCAAACGCAAACAGACTAGTATGATGAACCCAAGTCACCCGTATTCAACAATTATCAGCTCAAGGTGAACTTTGTTTTATCTATTCCCTCACCTACTTCTGGCCCTCTAGTATTATTTAGAATCAAATCCTGCCATCTTATAATTTCAGGCATAAATATTGCAATATGTAACTCTAAAAGATAAGGATTCAGATTCTTATGTATGTATGTATGTATTTCATTAATTTAGTAATCTCTATTCCCAATGTGAGGGTCTAACTCATGACTACAAGATCAAGAATTGCATGCTCTTCGGACTGAGCCAACCAGGCACCCTGACAAGATTATTTTTCTTCTTTTTAAAGATTTTATTTATTTGAAAGAGAGAGACACAGTGAGGAGGGAACACAAGCAGGGGGAGTGGGAGAGGCAGAAGCAGGCTTCCCACCAAGTAGGGAGCCAGATGTGGGGCTTGATCCCAGGACCCTGGGGTCATGACCTGAGCCGAAGGCAGATGCTTAATGACTGAGCCACCCAGGTGCCCAAGGATTCTTTTTCATTTTTTATTTTATTTTTAAAGATTTTATTTTTAAGTAATCTCTATACCCAATGTTGTGCTCAAGCCCACAACCCCGAGATCAAGAGTTACATGCCCCCCAACTAAACCACCCAGGCTTCCCAAGTGTTCTTTTTTAAATAAAACAAAACCATAGTTCCATTTTGCACTTAAAAATGAATAATATTTTACAATTTTGAACATAGTCAACGGATTATATTATAGTCAGTGATTCAAACCAAATCAGTTTTTGAGGAATGCTCTCATTTTGTACTGTAAGTAAGACAATGTGGTCTGCCTTCCTGTCTATAGAAGAAAGGGATTTGAGTTAAAACAAGGATAGAGATAAGCAAAGGGAAATGTGATCGTACCTGGTTGATACCTGGATTAGTGAGGGCTCTGACTGCAGGTCAGAGCTGGAATAAATGGTAAAAGGACCCTTTATTTCAATGATACTGGAGTATCTGATGTATCCAAGGTGCAGGAAGTCAGCAGGGGCCTGGAAGGGATCTGAACTGGGAAATGGGGTGGAGTCACCCCAGGGGAACCCTCTCCGTCATACAACTCTCCTCCCTCTCACCTATATTTCATTCCTCATGTGTGGGAAAAAGCTATGCTTAAGCCCCCCAATTTTCTCAACTTCTCTGTAAAAGAAACCAGCCAATGCTGGGATGAGAATATTTTAGTTATAATTGCAAGTTTCCAGGAAAAGGGGCTCTGATCGGGTCAGTTTGGGTTACATGTCCACTCTTGGTCTGGTCAGCAGTGACTGAGGGAGTGGGTCACATGTCACAAACATGGCTGTCAAAGTTTACCCATGTGGTCTGGTGAGGAGTCAGAATCTTCCAGAGAAAGCTAAGGGCCATTGCTCATGGTACGGGTTGTTGCCAAGGAAGACTGAGAGCAGGAGCATCTCTGGAGCTAAGGAGTCAATGGTGCATGACCATGTGTAGGGTCTCAGGCAGGAGGGCATTCCTCTCTCCCATCCAACAGTGGACAGGTGTCCTCACTAGGGAAGGGATTCCATTCGGGGATTGGTTGTCAAGTTCAGCCAACTCTGTGCTTCTCTCCCTGAGGGTTTTAGAACACAGACTCCCCTGCAAGTTTTTCTCCAGGTCCCAAAGTGAGAACCACCCTACAGGCCAGTGAGTGAACTAGGATTAGTCTGCCTCTAGCTCAGTCTTGTCCCATGGCAGGTGGGGGCTGTGGGGTTGCAAGAGAAAACCCTTTAAAACTAGGTCCCCCATCCACCACAGGACCTAAAAGCAAGGCTAAGAGGCAGGAAAAGATGAAGGCACAGTACAATATGTAGAGACGAGACAAAGTTAGAGGTTGGGAAAGAATCAAAGACTAAATTCAGCTGAAGTGCTTGAGGCAAGGCCTGACTAGGTGTGTTCATCTTCTTCACTGGGCCCTCCTTATTCTTAACTCCTTATTCTTTCTCTCTTTCCTTCCTTCCTTGCTTCCTCCCTCTCTCCTTTCATTCCCTTTTTCTACTACTTTCTTGCTCACTTTCCTTCCCTCTTTCTCTCCTTCTTTATTCAGTGTTCCTCCATCTGTGTTTTGAAGACCATCAACACAAATCACTTCAGAGGCTCCTTCAAGATTCAGATTCTAGACCTGGTTCCCAGACATTCAATCTGGCAGTCTTGGGGCCTGGCCTGGGAATTTGCCTTTTTCACAAGTCAGGAGATTTTGATACACACCCAAGTTGGAGCACCACTTGCTATGAGAAGAAACATTAGTCAGGTTGACCCCAGAATATTCCATTCATTCCTGTGCCTTTAAACAAGATGAATTTTCCTAATATAATTTCCTTACATGTCTGTGGTGATGGAGATGTGTGTAGGCAGCATACCGCAGTTGTTAGTGGAGGCATTTAAGTCTACACCCTAAATACCTCTCGTCCTGCCCCAGGAGCTGCCGTAACAGCTGTCTGGTTCAAGAAAAGCTCCCGAAGCTCTCCTGGGCTGCCAGTCATGCCACCATCTCCCCAGATTAGGAAGTGGTTTGTTTGCTTCCCTCGATTCAATAATGTATTCACACTCTTGAACATGGCATTGGTACCTTGAGTTGGCTAACAAAATAATAATTCTGTTTACATAGAAATAGTAAATTCTAATTTTTGAAATGTCACCAGCCTGGTTTGATATAACGGTATCTAGATTCGTATGTCAAAATGTTCTTACTAGAAAAGAGTCTCCAGTGTGGAAAGTACAATAGCTACCCTGGGCTTACAGATGAGTCAACCTAGGTGTATAAGGTCATCTTGGGCTGGTCCTGAAAGAACTGTTTCTTTTTAGTTCTTATTTTCAGAAACAGCTTTATGCTCAGTCTTTTGGCTAAGATCTAGCATCTGTTCTTATCAGTTTAATATCTGATATGTCCTTTATCTGAGGACAATATATTAAATGGATTTTAGGAGCAGGGAGATGGGGTAGGAACTTGCTCTGTCCACTCCATGCATTGAGCTGGAATTGCAGGGCCTCCAGGAACAGTGTGCCCCCCTCCTGGGGCTTCAAACTTGTGATGGTGTTGGGGAGCCTGGCTGACGCAGTGAGTAGAGCACATGACTCTCCACCTTGAAGTCATGAGGTCAAGCCCCATGTTGGGTATGGAGCCTTCTTAAAAAATAATAATAGCGTGGCTCAGTAAGTTAAGTGTCTGCTCTTGGTTTTGGCTCAGGTTGTGATCTCAGGGTCATGAAATCGAGCACCGCATTAGGCTCTGCACTCAGTGCGGAGTCTGCCTGAGATTTTCTCTCCCTCTCTTTCTGCCCCTCCTGTTCATGCTCTCTGTCTCTTTCTCTCTAAAATAAATAAATAAATCTTTTAAAATAATAATAATAATAATAATTAAAACAATAAATTAAAAACAGCTTTGTTGAGATATAATTTACATAGTAGGGGTGCCTGGCTGGCTCAGTCTGTAGTGCATGAGACTCTTGATCTCAGGGTCATGGTCATGAGTTTGAGTCCCGTGTTGGGCACAGAGTTTGCTTGAAGAAAATTGACATACAGTAGACTCACCCCTTGTGAGGTTACGGTAGATGCGTTTTAGCAGATCTCTGTATTTACATGTATATTATGAATGAATCCCATTTTCCAACACTTCCACCCATCCAAAAGGCTCCCTTCACCTGTTGGAGAGGAAACCTGCTGGTCATTTCCACCCTGTCAGCTGGCAGAGAACAGGAGAGGATAGTTTATGGAACGTTGCTTCAACACTCAACCTTTGTTCTCAGATTTCAACTGATGATACATATTTTTTAGAGAAAAGGCATTGCATGTCTTTTACAGGATGCAATTGTTGAAAACAGGTTTTTTCTGAAACTTGCTAATGTCATTGATCAGGTAAGATTTATCATATGCCTGTGAGCTTAATCACAATTTCATATGTATTTTACTGTATAGGAAGATCCATGTAAAACTACATGATCTATTGCAAGCATACCAGTCTGTGGCACACATGTTTTATAATCACCTTAATTCTTGGGTTCACAGGAATGGGCTGCAGCTCCTAAACGTGATAAAGATGTGATATTCTGTGAATGTGCTCAATGCATCTGTTTTGGAGTGCATAGCTTCTGGTTCAAATATCTTTGTGTGTATATTGCTTTGGAATTACTTTCTCAGCTTTGGAGGCATTCTCCAAACACTTTCTGACATAGCCCACATTCCGGGGTATTTGCAGAAGAGCTACCGCTCTCCCCCCATGATCCATTTCCGGCTGCACAGCTGAGTGGCCCAAAGAGGAAAGAGTATCTAGTGGTTTGGAGAATTTAGTTCAGTGGGCCCTGGAGGTCTTTATTTTTAACAGTATGATTAAACAATATTTCTGACAGCACAGGAAATTAGACACATGTTTATGAAGTGCTTCTTTGGAAAAGGGCACAATGCCAGGGTATAAAGCAATGATTTATATACTTCATTCATTAAAAAGAAATTTTAACAACAACTATGGGCTAGGTGTGGTGGGAGATAGGAAGTTGAGTCATTTTCATCTTCAAGCGTGTACCATCTTAGGAGGACCTGGGTGTTATTCTTCAGGCGATCTGTGTTTGCTGATGAACTTTGGAAACCTACATGTTCTTTCCTTGGTTG